ATTCTGGTCACAAAAGATACTTTGTGGCATGTGTTACCATATAGAATAAAAGAATTTTAGAGATGGAAGGAATCTTAAGTCCTACCCACGCATTTTTCAAAAAAGGAATGTGAGGCCCAGAGAGGTTAAGTAAGTTGATCACAGCCATACAGCCTATTTACGGTAGAACTGGATCTTAAACCCAAGATCTCCAAGTCTTGGGTCATTGCTCTTTCTGCCGAATAGTACCTTCCAATGGCATAAGTGAGAGCGAATTAATGCAGTAAAAATTAAAGCTGATTCTGTTCTCCCAAACCCTGCTTAAAAATTAGATGAGGACATGTGGTTGGGCTGAATAGTGAAAATCATTTGAATTCTCTCATAAGGGTTTCCCAGCCTGAAGCCCAATGCCCAGCCCGAAGCCTAGTGCCCAGCCTATCACATAAGCACCTGAATATTTGAAAGGTGTATGAACAAATGAATGAATGAATGAATGGTGAATGACTGCTCTAATTTAAAATAAAAAGGAAACTTCATCAAAGGAAACGAGCTCTCTTCTTAACACCAAGTATATGGACCTTGACTTTCCTTCACAGAAACTTTTCACCCCGTCTTCATATCCCAGTGGGAGGCCTGCTCCAAGCCCTAGGTGTTTACAGCCATCACAAATTGGTCTACGTGTCTCTTAGCAGTGTGCACTCAGACGGAAGATAAAGCAAAACACACTTCTGTTGAAGATGGCTTTGCTGCAGGAGTGTTGTCAGTCTGGCTCTGAGGGTTCTCTTGGAACATGCCGTGTTTAAATTCATCTGATAGCATCAGTGTAGGCTTGTCCTCCATTTATGGGCATGAGGAGGATGTATGACTAATGCTACTCAGCAGTCAGGAAATCAATGCTAAGGACTGTAGGCACAGTCTCCTCCACCACCCCAAAAAAGGCTCTCCCTTGAAAAATTAGGAGTTACTTGGGGATGGGTGAGGAAGAAAAAGTTTGGAGTGAACTTGATTGTACGCCTTCTTACTTGTATATAACAATATTGTGTTTTCTTTTTAGTTCACAGTGTGATTTTTGTCTCCTCAAAAATGGAAAAAAATATAACGTAGAACATGATATTCCAGTAGGATTCAAGATATTTTTATTACTCATCTTTCAACTTCAGCTGCCCGTATATAATCTCGGCTCTACAATATTATCAGGAGACATAGATATTAGAAGAAACTACTTGCCTCTCTGCCATTTGCATTTTTCTTCCATTTGTCATTTTTTTCTCCTTTCTTCAGTTAATTTCATTTCCTCTTTCCCCAGAGTCTCTTTCTTTTCTTAGCTGTACAGTGTTTAGAGTTGGTAGAAAATTCCCATAGCCTGATTGGTATTGGAATAACATTAGTCGGTAGAGGCCGTATTCTATAAAATGCATTATTTCCAGAAAGTTCAACCATGGCTGCCATTTAAATATGGCAGGTGGGCTCCATTTCTTGATAACGATCAAATCATGGGCTGAAAAGAAGTATCAATATAATCTAATTCTGAACTCTTATCTCTTATTTTATAAAACCTAGCTGATAGCTTGGGAAGAAAAAAGAGTGGTTCCTTCTTTCTTGCATTGAATTGATTGGTCCCTTTTACTGTAATCAAACTCGAGAATACCGATCACCTTTCACAGACATCGTGATCAGGTGACAACTGACCTTGGAGTATTTTCTCAA